ATGTAATGTACCGTTATAAAAGTCTCTTTAGAGAGAGAGAGAGAGAGAGAGAGAGAGAGAGAGAGAGAGAGAGAGAGATTGATTTGGAAAAAAATGACTACAAAGATATTCTTACAAAAATTCTCTGCTTGTGTGGTCTCTGTCTTTAAAATAAAGTTACACAACTCTTTATTTTGTTTTCATTGTGTAAGTTATGCAGGAAATCAAAAACATGTATATTTTTATCTTATATATGTGCTTTATATTTCACAGAAATTATCTTTATGTAAAATTTACTCTTTTAAACAAAATCATGAAAATTAAAGATATGTCTTCTGCATGTGTGCCAAGTTATATTGAAAAAAAATTAGGAATAATTCATTCTTGAACTTAACTGTGTAATTTTTACCGTCTTACATCGATATTATAAAAGCAATAATATATTTGTATTTCAAAATCTCTTGTGTGTTATATTGAAATCCCCCCCCCCTTGTAGGAGTTCCCATTTTGAAAGAATTTCACAGAATTTCACTTTTAGTAACCAGATACAACGTTCATCGAAAAAAAATTACTTTCCTCCTTAACTGAGTACACTGTACATGCAATGTTATATTGAATCTGCAAAAACTTAGGAGGAGTAGCATTTTGAAAAATCTTTACAGACAGATAGAAATCCACGCATGTGGACGAGAAGTAAATAAGAAAAGGACTCTTCAAACATGTCCGAAAAAAATAGAGGCCCTATTTGGTTTTAAGATGGGTTATTTTTTTGAATTTTTTTCTTAAATGTAGAGAGAGAGAGAGAGAGAGAGAGAGAGAGAGAGACATTTGAAAAAAAAATGACTATTTTTTTGTCTGTTGTAATTTTTGTTTTCATTAAAAATGTTTTATGCAGGAAAAATATTTTAATTTTTGTCCATATATTGCTGTGGGAAACCCAAAATATGTTACATCAAAAAGTACAATTTTAGGAACAAAATCATGTAATAAAGATTCTGTGAAAATTTCATCAAGTTTCAATCAGTGGTATGAAAAAAGTTGCGGAATAATTCATTCTTGAAAAGCGTAACAGACGTAATTATCACCGATTACTATATAGTTTATACATATAGAAATATAGTTATATATGTATATTGATTTCCAATACATATAATACCACAATCAAATGTGTATGAATGCATTGTCAAAACGTAAGAAATGATGATCGAAGAAATCTCTAATAAGACAAGTTTTTCTTCCTTAGCAGAAATTATTAAATATTAATTACGTTATTGCAAATCAACTACGTCCCCAAGTAGTTGTGACACCCTCTCCCCACCCCCCACCCACTCTTTATATGTATAATTAAATAATGCATTGTTTGTATTTTAAATTCTTCTAAGAACCGTACATTTTCTTTAGAACTCTCTAAATTGTTTAAAATTGATAAAAAGGCTTTATTTTGAAACCGATTTTTTTGTTGTTGTAATTTTTGTTTACCCATGAAAATATGTAAAATTTTGGCCTAAATTTTAATTCAGGCGTAACGATGTTTTGCTTCGGGAAACCCAACTTTACGCCGGCGCAGCGCTACGACTAGGCGTATGACCTTTGATGAAACGGGTCCCAGAGGTTGGATCTGTGTCATGCAGGAGTAAGCATCCTCTGCCGACCGATCACACCGGTACTCCTTGCCATGATCGGTAAATCTTGGAATAAAAACTATGTACAATTCAGTGTAAACAATGGGAGATTGTATTTCCTGACAAGCTCATTGTATCACGACCATAGAACTTAAGAAAAGGTGACTTTAAACGAGATTGCGTATATTCTTGTTTCATCAACTTGTTTGTTTGTCAATAACTTATTACCTTTTCATACGTAGAATATTAGTATGCTCTTGCACATCGAATCTACTGAGAGATATAAACTCCGTATGCAGGTGATGAAGGTGATTTGTTGCAAAAGTATAAGTTGACGATTGAAACGTTTGTCTTCACGTTTATCATAAAGCTTAGTTTTTAGATTACCATTAACGTCTTTTCCTAGTAAATAGTAATATATCCAAATATGAAAGAGATACAAACAAAATGCAGTGTTGTTTATAAATATCAATCAAAAAAAGAAAATTCACTTTTGAGTTAATTCAACTTTTTAAATTTTGGAAATTTAGACTCACTTTTTTCAGTATTATTACTTTTGACATCATTGTCAATATTTTTATTTTCATAAACGTTTCATGTATGACTTATCAAAAGAAATAAAAATTATTTTTTCAATACTTTGTTTCCATGGTGTTGGTGACCTATCACATGGCTAATTTTCAAAAAAAAATTATCATGACTATAATCTTTCAATACTTCAAATCATCTGCACACGTTGATGATTGGACTCAAAAATTTCTAACATTCTCTCTTTTTTTTTTTTAAACTTAACAGCTTGTTGTCTTAGTTACAATGACAAATAGCAAGCAATTTTTGCTCGATGCAAATTTTATGGTATCAACGATGTTTATCATATAGCGTTTAGGGGGGAATACTGATACATGTAGCATGAGGCTATGCATGCATCAGCTCTTATACAGGTGTGTAAATTGTACTTACTTTGTCATTGGTCATTTGCGTTATTATTTCTTTTATAATCAATTTGATTGTACACAAAATTACTCTGAAGTTGAAATTAAAGAGATGCATATGTTTCTCACTTATTAGAATAGGTGATATCACTTATTCATTTCCAATAGGTGATATCACCAATTCGAAATGGTCATATCATCTGTTCGAATAGGTGATATCACGTATTGGAAACGAATAAGTGATATCGCTTATTTGAATAGGTAATATCACCAATTGGAAATGGATAAGTGATTATCACTTATTCGAATAGGTGGTATCGAATTGGTGATATAACTTTTTCGAATAGGTGATACTCTCTCAGAAAATATTTTTTTGCCAGTAAATACCAAAACGGCGCCTTATAAATATCTTTGTAACTTTAAGAAATCTGGTCTCCCCATGACTACCAATTGCACCCTGTTGTCAGCAGGCCTAATTTTAATTTCATATGAAACATAATTTATTCAAACACCTCTATACGAGAAGAAAAAAGATCACCTGCTTTGGTCTTCAACTATATCTGATTCAACAATGTATCATAAAATCTGAAAAAGACTACCCCTTTTCATGTGTCGACTCTATACATTTCATTGAACTTGAAATAAAAGATACCACAGAGTATGACATATATTTTACAATTGAATATTTTACTAGAAAGAGATGTTACCTAACAACAAAACGTAAATTCTTCAACTTATCTATCGTCAACTTCCTTTGCTAATGAAGCAGTATACCGTTATTACCGCGGTTTATGTCTCCCAGTTATTCGGTACGAAAAATTTATAAAACGAGGCAAGATACTGACAAGTTAATAAAACGTAGCTTTCAGTTGTCTCGTTTGAAGTCATCATTTCGAAAGTTCAATGGTCGATGCAATGATCTTGTCAGCAAATACAATCCAGCATTAAGTCGAATGCTGACCGACGTTTTGTTACGTTGTTTTGTTATAGATACACTGAATTGGCTATGGATTTTCCCCGATCATGACAAGGGGCGCACGGCGAGTGATACCGGTTGAATGGGGATATTTATTCCTTCCTGGCACCAGATCCCAACCCTGATGCTTTTTAGCTCCGTATTTGGTCTACTCCCGATTGTTATTGTTTTAGTCGACTTTTGAGCTTATTAATTACTGTTCGTTATTGCCATAATCTGTTTTTAAAAAATCTCAAGAACATGTATAATTGTTAATGGTGTAATACACCAAAGTACAGCGTAATTCATGGTAAATGGTTGAATTACAGATGTATAACCTAAATAGTTTGAAACTCCAATGAAAGGGTTTAAAAATAACACTTAGAATAACTTTCAAAAAATGAAAACTTGTATTGTGATCTTGGTGAACTATGTCAATGTCTGTGCTTCCTGAACAGACAACCCTGAGGAAGATTGAGGATACAATATAAAATTGACCCTTTATTCATCAATATTGTACTTTTGTTCGTAATAAGAAATATGACAATATGTGATACCTCCTTAATAAGGTTCAGTGAGGCTGACAATATCGATGGGTATTTTTAGCAATAATTTTTGAACAGTAGTATAGTTAACCAATATGTCAAATTGTGAATTAGCTTTGACCCCATTGCACTTATTACACTTATCTTCGATAGCAAAGAATCCAATATTCTTTGAAAGATAAAATGATAGTAAATAAAGACTGTACAAAGTCTGGTCAAAGACAACAGTTTCTGTTAGCAGTGTGGTCCAAGGAAATGCAACACGTTAATAACTGTCGGAGTACCCATCCCAAACAATCTACTAGAGATCATAAAAATACAATTATTAACACGATTCAATGATAATTTTGTAAAGGATTGACAAAACATATCTTAATTCGTTCATCAATCCGCGTTTCCTCTTTTCTGTAATTGAAAAAAAGAATGATTTAGTATGACAAAGTTCTTGATTAGCGCAGCGAAACATAATTCAGACGGGAATTCCCGTTTTCCCTTCAATCAGTCTCCAATTATTTAGACAAGTCGACTAGGACGTTACAATTTGCTCGGAAATTGTATTAATACTTTTTGCATGAAAAAGAAATGACTTTGAAAGGTTTGATCAATAAACCTGCTTTTGTCTCCTTTAATTATGTTTGTGAAACCCCCTTTGGACACGACCATACTCTAGCCTCGATGTATCCAACATCCAGCTTTAGATTTCCTCCCTAATGCATCTTTTAATGAAAAGAATAGCTAACGTGATGCTTTTTACACTTTGTTGGGGATAGGGTTTCTTGACCATGATCAACATTTCCCGCCATAATTCATTAGAAAGTCATTACAAGACCATGTAAATTTCACCAAGCTTTTAGCCGGATAAAATTTCCTTAATCCCAACTTTAATGCTACTTGTTGCCATGTCAGTAATGGCACCGCTATCCGCTGGAATGTAAAAGGTTCGATATTAATTCTTTCAACTAGCTGCAATTCATTACAGCGCTATTGACGAGTCGGGAAACGCTATTGGCAGAGCAAGAAACGGGGTTGGAAAATAAAAGCCGAAGCAACAGTCGGTCTGTCGCGGCGGCTTGTGACGGGTGAGTACAATTGTATGTAAATGTAGGGATTTCTTATCATCCCAATGACTCTGATAAATGTGAATATGATTAATTTGTCCAGTATTTATTCTATAAGTAAAAAAAAAACAAAACAGTGCTCTAAATAAATATGAAAACTTGGAAATATTTAAAGTTCAGTGTTTTCTGCACTGTTAGAATCATATCCTTTAGGTATCGTAAAGTTTTGTCGATATACAAAAGAGAAATATTCAATTATAAATGATTAAAGGTTTTATCTCTACACACATCGGTAATCGTAGTATTTTAATTATCAATTAATACAGTTTCTGTGACTATATATATTGGAAACCCAATGACTATAGTTATTTCTATCATTCACTGGGATATATTATTCAGTAGACAAAAATTGAATTGTATGTTACGAGCAGGAAAAAGAGACCGAGATCTTTCCGGAAAATATTTTAATAATGATAATTGATAACACGATATGGACGGCTAGGTATTATGCATATACCGAAGTGCAACTTTGGCTCTGCTTTTGTTCTTACATTGCTTTTCTGAGCCACTATTTGACAATAATTTAAAAGACAACCCTGGCGACAATCTATGCTTGATTTCTGTAGCAAGAACGTGAAATCTCTTTTACTCATCGATTTTGTAATTTTACTTTTAGCCTTTTCAAAGAAACTAGGCAACTGAAATTAGTTCACCGTGTCACAATCTTATCAGCATGATTACGGGGTTGTGGGTAATTTTCTATAACACAAAAATCTCTGTAATCTGGCTTCCGGGAATAAGTGAGATCTCCAAACTCCCAAACTTTTATTTTCATAGATTCTTCAGATTGCTTTGGCTCAAATATCAGAGGAAAAATGTTTTGAAAACAAAACTCCATTGTTTCAGTTCCTAATTCGCTTAAGTTTTAAAAGCTAAAGACTGTTTCTGTAACAGATTTTCAAATATCTTGACATATTTTCTCTGTTGAAAACAACTGAAAATCAGCTGTTTCCACTTATATTTTTTTTCTTCAGTAAAACCAGATACATCTTATCTTGAGTGTTTCCGATGTGAAGCAAAATTAACACAAATTCTTTGCATAAAATGAACTAAATCATTAAAAAAGGCTACTTAGAGTTAATTTGAGAAATGTCTTGGAACAATTAGCATCACTTTATGAAAGGAAAAAGAACTCCAATTTTAGTGACATTTGGGCACTTTGAAATTTGAATGTTAAAATATTCATTTATTTAAGAAAATGTTTAATTTAATTTAAAAAGTATATTCTGCGTTTTTATATGGTCTAAAATGCACAACATCATATTTGCAAATGCACAGTATCATTGTATGAAGAAGCTTTCATTGGCTTTTTCGAGTTTCGTAGATGCATACTGTATTAGTATAATTCTAGATTTTGAACGTTAATAGGTCTACAAGTACTATTACTATAATGTGTTTTGAAACAATAAAAACTTGACTTGGAAGCAATATTCAGATGTATCATTTAATTTGGAGTATCAATAATAGCCCTCTGGCGCAGTGGTTAGAGCGTCTGCTCTAGAGTCGCAAAGTAAGGAATTGATCCTTATGTCGCAGGTTCAAATCCCACTTTGGGACGTGGATACCGGTCCTTCGGATGAAACCGTATAAACCGAGGTCCCGTGTCGCAGTAGGTGCTGCCACGAAAAAGATCCCTCACTGCTCAATGGCCCTCAGTGCTGAATATATATAGGACAGAATTAGCGGCCCTCTACCGGCAAGTGGTGGCGTCTCCATATGAGTGAAAAATTCTCGAGAGAGACGTTGAGCAACAAACAATCAATCAATTAATCAATCAAATATAATGTGTAAATGTTAACACATAAGACTTCTTTTTTTGTTTGTGTTTGTGTGTGTATGTGTGTTTGTATATGCTTGTGTCATAGTCAAAGTGCTGTGGTTGCACTTGGTTGATTAACCTAAAAGGTATATAGTCAAACACGGTTATGGCGAACTACATGTAACTGATGAAGAATATGCGTTTACGGTGAAATGATTTTTATTCTTCGTGGCTTATATATATTAATGCATTATTACCTCAACTCGACATTAAAATATATCAACGATCAACGCATTGGTTATTTCCATTCTGATGTGATAAGATACCACAGAGTCTGACACAGCTGTTTCATATTTGGATATTTTACTTGAAAAAGACGTTTATGGTAATTTATCACCAAAGCTTCATAATAAACATGATGACTTTTAATTTTTCAATCGTCAACTTCCCTTACTTATGCAGCAATATACCTTTTATGCCTGCATATGGAGTTTATATATCTCAGTTGATTCGATGTACGGAAGAGCATGCTCTACATAAGAACAATTTCTAAAACGAGGTAAATTATTGACAAACAAAGAAATAAAAATAGAAAATCAACAGTCTCATTTAAACTCATAATTTTGTTAGTTCAATGGTCGATACATTGACCTTTTCCGAAAAAAAACAATTTATCATTTAATAATTATTTCCCGATCATGACAAGGAGCACACGACGGATGTGACCGGTGGGTCGACAGGGGATGCTCACTCCTGCATGACACCTGGGGCTCGTTTCTCAAAAAGGCCTACGACCGGGCGTAAGCTTAGTTCGGTCTAAATCATTGACTAAACCCGGAAGTCGGACTGCTCATGAGTAAGCGTAAGTTCTTAGTCTGTACACAACTTGGGAAAGGGGCAAGTGTTTTAATCATAAAGAGTTAAAAAAAATTATTATTTTATACGTATGCGATGTAATACTTATTTATATACATGCACATAATTATATGATAGACGAAAAATCATGAAAATTAATAAACAACATATAATATTATGTAGAAAGGTAAAAAAATCCATCGAGGATGCAGGTGGGATGAACTAGAAATTTGTAATTAAGAACTTTGAATTCTAGTTGGGTAGGAATTTAAGAAGTGCCAGATTTTATTTTTTAAAAATATAGGCACGCTTTGGGGGGGGGGGGTTGTAACCCTCCCGTTTTTTTATTGCAATATTGCGTTTTCTGTTTTAAAAAGGTGTATAATTTATGGGCTGATGCCCACTTTCAGCATTTCTCTTGTCGGCTGAATATTTTGGTCACTCAATTACTTACCCCCCCCCCCCATCCCCATTCACTTCTTAAAAACGATGCCAGGTCCCGGATATTTTTTGTTTTGAAATGGATAATGTTTCAATAAATCCTCAATCCTCAAACAATATTCATTTTCAAAAATATATTTTAGATAATGAGAAATATTCGGTAACTATGCCGTGCGATCAACCAAGTCAATGCCTCTTTATTTTCCCCCTTTAATTGCGTGTATTTTAATATAATATTAATAAAATATAAAAATTTGAATTTGTAAAATGTTCGAGTATTCTGTTCATAAGACTGTTCACTCATTGTCGAGAAGTGAGAAGTGTAGATGGGTTAATCGTTTTTTCTTAATGGCTAGCAAAAGCTTAATAGTTTTAAATCGAATTCTTGTGAACCATATTACAGGCAATAATTAAATCTAGTAATTTTTATAAATTTCTAAAATATTTCCATTAAAATTTAAAAAGCGTGTGTTATAATGCAAATGGTGTATATACATATGTATTCCTACATGACCTAGGTAAATTATCATAACGATATCAATGTAAAACTGTATGTTCAAAATGTAATACATGTATCATAAATGCAGGTACATATACCACCTTGATTGTCAATTTATGTCTAATTCACATTGAAGAAATTGATGGAAATTTTAAAGAATTTTATATGGTATGGGTCATTTTAGGCCCCCATTTAGAAAATGGTTACATGTGTAAATTTCTTTCTTGTTCAAGGCGTTGCACGTATATAAAATCGTCTAAATTTTAACAAAAACGGGAGCCAAGGAAAACCGTATATCTGGCCTGTTGATCGGGGGCTCTGTCCCTTCACTCTCTATCTGCGTAAAGTATTTTAAATACAGAAAAATTTCCTTCAGATACTGACATTTTACTTTCAAAACTTTTGCTATATGTTCCAGCCCCTAGCCATATATGGCTATTACTCATAGGAAAACTACTTTTTATTACAAATTTCCACAAGTACATGTATGTATAACCATGTATGTACATCAATTGGTTTTAATGTAGATATCTTATACATGTATAACACTTGTGGATATAGGGGGGGGGGGGGGGGGGGGGGGGTAGGCATTGCAGCTTGTAGGGTATTGCAGCTTTCCACCGGCAAGTAGAAGGGTCTCCATATAAGTGAAAAAATTCTCTAGAGGGATGTAAAAATACCGGTATTTTGAAAATTTAAGAATTCTTTATCACGACATTTTATATGCATATACTGAGTATATTATACATCTTTAGAAAACTAATTAACAATATTTCAAACCAAATATTCAAATTTCTTCTGCAGTTTAAAAGAGAATCCTTTAAAATTTCAGTGATTTCAATTAATGTGTTTTATTTGATATTTCTTCTATATGTTGTTACTATATATTGTTCTGTGTACTGTAATAACCTAACTATAATATTTGTCTAGAATATATCTCGTTCACAGGATGATATATTTTTTTGATAAAAAGGCCTTTATTGAAGAATAAAGAGAATAAATGATAAAAAAGATAATATGTTTTGGAAAACTCTTTTTAAAAAAATACTTGCAGTGACGTATCGTATTTTATGTTTTCACTACTCAAATCAGTGAGATGTCGGCATGCTTTATCAACTATATTAATATTTAATTTCTTTTTATTTTACTTCTTCAGAACCCGGAACCAGGAAAATTCAAACATATCAAATGAACTTCAACACTTAAACCAATGCAAAATCACTTGATTTATTTGGGGTTTTTTTCAGATAAAGAGAAAAAACAATTTGTTTGAGACCAGTTTTAAATGTAATTTTCTGTTCTATTGTTCCATTTCTAATACGAATTGTACAAACACGATAACTATATAAAATAATCAAAAAATTTAGACAGATATACAAGTATCGATGACTTTGAATATCCTTTCGTGTTCACATGGGACTTTTTAGAATAGAAAATTGATTGATACATTCCCTAAAGCCGATGAAAAATAATATAAATTATCTTTTATCAAGACATCTATTACTGTGTTAGGAAAAAAAGTGTTTGAATACAAACTGATTCTTACTGTTTTTTACAATGTTGACTGCATTTCACTGAATTTGTCGATTAAAAGGTGTATGACAGAATGTGTTACTGTTTTAAGGTATTTGTTTAATTTTCACAATACTTTATTCAGATCATTGGTATCAGTAGTTCACATGAGCTGTCAATGTCACTAAATCAATAGGGTGATGAAGAGTAGAATGATCTATGATTTGAATACATTATTTACTGACATTACACCTGATTTGCTGCAGTTAAAGCCGATCCTTTACTCTAAATTTGTCAGCATCAACGCTGTTGTGCGAATATCAACCTTCCAGGGACACGCGACCGAGCATTATTAAATTGAAAGACTCCTTACGTCCAATTTATTATTTATAATTCATTTGATATTTTGCTTATCAGCTTATTCGTTGTAAAACAAAGAAATATATAGAGATAAAGAACAGGAATCAAACTCAAAAGTCCATTCAAACAACACAAATCAGGAGCAGAGCAAACACTGATCTCTCAAACATCAGAGGTGGGATCAGGTGCCATGAAGGAGTGAGCATCTCCTGCTGACACCGGTCACACCTGTCGTATGCTCCTTGTAATGATCGGGAAATCATGAAAAAATATGTTGACAATTCAGCGTGTAAAAATGGCCTAACAACCAATATGAAATACTCCAGTCAGCATTTGGCTTCATAATAGATTGATTTTGCCGATAAAGGCACTGTATCGGCAATTATACGAGTATTATATAGAAATTGCGAATTGATGGCTTTGAAATTTTAAACAAGACAGTTGATATTTTTGTTTCATAAACTTATTTATCAATAACTTGTGGTAGAAATTGTTCGTACACAGAATCTGCTCTTATACGTATCGAATCAACTGAGAGATATCAACCCCGCTTGCAGGTTATAAGGGAATATTGCTATACTTTAGTATAGGAAGTTGGCGATAGAAAAAAAATGAGGTCATCATGTTTATAATAAAGCTTTGTTGTTAGGTTACCATTAACGACCCTTTCTAGTAAAATATCCAAATATGAAACAAAAGTGTCAGACTCTGTAGTATCTTTTGTTTCAAGCTCACTAGGAAATAACTAGTATCCTGTCGACATATGAATGGAAATAAATATTGTTAATAAATGATAATACGTTGTCGACCTTTATATATAAACGTCGTGTTGAAGGACCCAACAAGTATTTTTTCGTGTATAAGATTTTGAATAAATCTAATCTCAGCAAGGTGTCGAAGGGACTAAAAAGTTTCGTCTGGTATCAAATTTTTTTAGTCCCTACATCTGGCTGACATCTGGCTCATAAAGTTCTGCTTTTAACGAGATGCAAAAGGTAGCCATGGGTATCTCAGTTGCTGGAAGACCTGCTGTCCAAAAACAAATACATTGTCAATCAAAAACCTTAGCAATGTGTTTAGTTTGTTTGTTGTTTAACGTCTCTTTCGAGAATTTTTACTCATATGGATACGCCACAATTTGCCGGTGTAGAGCTGCAAATTTTGTCCTATATTCGGCACATATGACCAGAGTTATTGAACAGTGAGGGATCCTTTTCGTGCTATAGAACATCCTCCGACACAAGACCTCAGTTTATACGGTCTCATCCCAAGGACCGGTCTCCATGACAAACAGAGGTGTTCGAACCCTCAACGTTAGGATCAACTCCTTCCTCTGCGATTCTAGAAGATATGCTAGATAACCGATGCGCTACACGGGCGACCACCGTGTTTTGATATCAATTTCAGATTAATTTCGTATACAATCAGAAAGATTTTTACAAAATACCAGTAATTTTGCAAATGACCAATGACAACGTAAATTAGGTAAATTTACGAGTTCCATTTTTATTGAAAAAAAAATTGTTACTGATGAACTTTTGATTTTTTTGTATTTCAGTGTTGAAGACTAACAATTATGAACCTTCATACTTGGTAAGTGTCCCGGAAGAGGCTATAAAATGGTTCAAATATTTTATTACGAAAATCGAGGAAAATGTTGTCGAAAAGTTTTCAACTACGAAGGTTACCCAACGAAGGTGATGCTTTTTCCGTACGAAGGATGGGCACACCCGGTTCCTGTGACGTACTGGACATTAAAAACCTATTGGTGGAACCGATCACGGTGTAAAATCGTGGAGGTTTCCGGAACAAAACGAAGAACGACAAAGGCAAAAATGTCTGACAAAGGAAGTGGCGCCATGGTTATATCTGGAAAATTTAAAAACAGCCCTAGTCCCGACTTTCGCATGACTTTGACAACAAACATTTCTAACGAAGATTTTCAGCTGGGATACTGTGTGACTGGAACGCTGGAGAGAGGGGACAAGAAGAAGGGCGATCTACAACTCGCGCAGTTTGCCATGGTGAAACGCCGTGGATACTAACCCAAAGATGAACTTCTATCTCATTTATTTTAATCAAAAGATCCTAGCTCTAATTCTGACCACGAAAATCAATACCAACAATAGATATAAGTGCTGTATTAGAAGCAAATTGTAGCACGCCGAGACACATAAAACTGCTTAAGAAGAAGTACAAAGACGTCCCCTGCCTCAAGCTAAGAAAAAGGAGTCGGGGTTTCACATTCCATTTCTCATTTCTATAAGAAAAAATTCTGTTTTATTTCACCCATAAAAGAGACTTTCAAGACAGACGTCTCTCTTCGACAACCATTTTTTTTTTATCTGTGTACCAGATAAACTTATTAGCTGCTGTTGAAAAGTGTGAACTGTTGAGCGTGATATTGCATATCAGAGAACTCATTTATGTCGCATGAAATGCACATCTTGAATTAACTATTCCATTTGATGTTTGTGATTTATTGTTCTCTTTGTGTTCTTGTTACCACGTGACGTTTGGCGTTGCCATTGTACATGTGTAGGTAGTTAAAAGTGGTGCTTGTTAATTATTTATCGATATGTAAAATTATTCCATGTTTTTATAAAAGTACATAGTCCTCGAACAGACAATAAAATATGTAGGAGTCATCAGACATTCCAAGGAAAAGTTGTGTAGATTACCTATTGAATAAGACAAGACTCTGCTTTTATCAGGCGTCTCCATCAATTGTATATTGTCGATTTCTCATCATGTCTCAGACTCTATGACATCAGAATCCACAATTTGACGGTTACTTTGATTCATGTCTCTGCTTTATTACAATATTGCCATTTCAAATGAAAAGCAAAAAGAAATATTGCCGTTTTATGCTTGTGTAGAAAATGTTTAATATTAATATTTCTGTTTGTAAAAAGGGATCGAATTGTAACAGCTTGTGATTTAGACATTGCACACATTTCAGACCGTTTAATTTACAAGTTGGAATCGAATGCTAAAAAAGATTTGGAGAGAGATAAAACAATTTTTAAAATAAGTCTTAAAAGAAATAAAATAAAATTATTTCATTAGAAAATGAATCCCGAAACCCTCGTATACATAATTATCATTTGCTAAGAATTTGGTTTTTGATGGTGCTGTTCAGCATCCATTCCTTGCAAGGCGACATTACCATTGCTGCTCTATGTACCTATCTATAAGGTATATTTTAACAATTTAGTTTTATTTGAATAACTCTTTTTGCATTTCAAATTCGACTGCAGAATGACGAAAACAGAAATATGATCATAGAAAAAATTCACAGACCAAATCAAATTATTGAGATACTTGAACAACTGAAACTTCAAAGTTTGAAGAAATAGATTCAAATTATTTCTAGAAAAATATCTTTATTCCTTTCGATGTGTTTTTACAAGTCTTAAAAAGTTATTGCTTTATTCTCGTCATTCATATAATGACTACGTATATATCGGAATCATCTGGGAATCAATCTCGTCATTTCCTGTGTTGATATGTCCTTTTCCGGGTCCATTGTCTTCCCATGCATCGTGTCATATGGTGTCTTATCCACTTGCATGTTTGTTAGAATTATTGAACTTTTCTGTCAGGCATTGTGAATGTTTCCAGACATGTACTATTTATAATTGAATAAATATTATGTTATCAATACTGTTTATTCTGGAAATCTGGTCGTTTAATGTTACGTAATATACAACCCATTGCAATCATGGCATTTTGATTAGCCCAGTAATGGATGTAAAAGCAGATATAATGACCATATTAAAAACGAATAATGTGCGGATCACAGGATAACCCATTCATTGTTTGGATGCAGATGAAAAGATCCTGTAAACGATGCCTCCATCTGATTGCCCGGTCCGGATAACGCTCTGACAACATGCCTTAGATCCTTGTTTTACCCAAACCCCTCATAAAGAATACATTTATTGTTGGTAAATAACCTTCCCTGTCTGGTATTGGTATCTTATCCAAATCAATTTTTTTTTCAAATTTAATTTATCATAGACGAAAAGAAATAAATAGTTGAAATAAAGAAAATCAGATTAAAAAATATGTAAGAGCTCTGAACAATTTTATCAATCAGATTTAGCTAGTATACAGATATATAGGGCATATTTCAAGCATTGATAAACTCACGAGAAGTACTAAGTAGTCGAATTGTATATCGCTATCTTTTGATAAATATATGACTTTCATTACCCCAATGATGAACTTGTTATTTGATAAATATTTCATTATTCTATCAATGATTGGAAAGCCATGAATTAATTTGTTAATGTGGATAATTTGAAACACTCGGTGTAAAGTACTTTAGTGCTTAAAGGTAAGTCTAAAAATTTAAAAATTCTAATTCAATAACATATATAGTTATATATACCATTACGAACTCTTTTCCTGGATGTATCTGATATTTATGGCACGCCAAATTCACAAAAATGAGCAAAACATAGGTTTATCAGTTGTAAACTATAGTTTACGGATGTAAACATAAGCTTTAACACAGTTCTAATTTTACATCCGTAAACCATAGTTAACGCGAAATCTATGTTTCACAACCGTAAACTATATTAACACTGAAAACAATCATTTGCGATTGCAAAACATAGATTATCTGATAATACAGTTTTTGCCTATAGTTTACAAACCGTTAATATAGTTAACGATCTGATAAATATAATTTCACGTTTGTGAAACTATGATTAACAGCTCTTAACTATGTGCATGTAAACTATGTTTACAAAAATAATATCAACAAAATCTTTGTTAACGCTTATTACAGAGAGATAAATTAGATTATCATTCGTAAACTATAATTAACAACCGTTAAATATAGTTTTACAGATGAAAACTATACTTCCGAATATAACTATAGTTTACGGTTTGTAAAAGAATATAAACCTAGTTTATCAATTGTGAAACTAGGTTTATCTCATTTTTGTGAATTTGGCGTGCCATAGATATTCCCCAGAAAATTATCAATATTTACCAAGGCGAAGCTAAGTTCTAGGATGAAACATAAGCTTTAACACAGTTCTAATTTAAATAAAATTGTTTCAACTGAATAAAATATTGTGATCATTTCAGATTATGACTTTTGCCTAATTATACAAATCTTGAATTATTAAGGAATCACTGTCTAGTTTGTTGGGTATTCCAGGTCATCTAAGGATAGTTGGAAACGTGGGATAATTTGCAAAACGGGAGAAGTATCGCTGATGTCCCTGGCATACCCAATCGTATTAGTGACTTTTTTTTTTATATTTCAATTTACATTTCATTGTGAAATAAAATTGTAAAATAACATTGAAAAAAAGTTGTCTACATTTTAAATTATACGAGGCCTCCAATATCAATTTCAATAGTACCCGCCGACTGACGTCAGACATATTGAAAGCCGCACAAGATTTACATGCATATTAGACCTCCTTAGCTCATGACGTTTTGTTTGGTGAAATTTACATTTGAAGAAATCAACTCATCTGACTTTCAAAGAGATATGAGAAACAAACAGAAATGGAAACATTGCGATTTTTATTCAAAGTCGTGTTATGTATATTAAAAAAAACTTGATTATATTTGTAAACTTGTGATCTATATGAATATTTAAACTTATATCTGTACAAAAAGTCGATATTCATATAAAAAACTTATTAACATACATGTGCATGTACATGTATATGTAAAGAAAAAATTAATATAAACTTTTCGAGTATAAATTACAATAGTATATTAATCACTACTTAAAGAATATGAATACATGTAATACATTCTCGAATATGAATAACAAGTTCCTGAATATAAATAACCAGTTTTTTAAAGAATATAAATCACAAGATTTATCAGATATTTCCATTTCCATTTGTCTTCTCTGTGATAGCTGTTTGAAAGTTAGAAAAGCTAGGTTATTTCTTAATAATTCAACCGGAATGTAAATTTCGCCAAGCGAAAAGCTGGGAGCTAAGAGGGCCTTATATGCATATAGATATCATGTGCCTATCTTTGCATCAGACGTCAGTAGGCGGGGACTATTGAAATTGACATGGGAGGCCTTGTGTAATTTAAATCTATTAGACAACTTTTTAAAATTTAAATTTACAATTTTATTTCACAAAGAATTGGAAACATTGGAAATCACTGACTAGTTTGTTGGTTATGGCAGGGACTATCGTTGATGCTCTGGCATACTCAACAAAATTGACAGCGATTCCCTATATATATATTTATCAAATTTGATACAAAATATGTATATTTATTTAATGTCATATTAGGGGATTATATTTTGTATTTATTAGCATTTTTTTTAAAAATGTACCTGAGGTCTACCAAAATCCACCAGTGAAATACTAACGTTCAATTCTACAAGATATCTGTGCCCATTAAAAACTATTATTCCTCTGTAGCTGTTTCATACCATTTATCCAATAAAATAATGGATGTTTTCTTCAGTCATGCTGAAAGTGCTTTATTGTAACACATTATGAAGAATTACAGACATATAATGGAAAGAGTAGTCTTCCTAGGCTCTCGAGGGACTTCGAAATTGATCTAGCGGAAACAAACTTGGTAAATGGAAGACATCCTGGCAAATCTGAATTGAAACTGTATGTCCAATGTTTTATGTAGAAAGATTTAGCCGAGCAAAGGAATTCACCGGAGACCAACTCTGTTCTTTATCAGAATATGTGAAGATAATATATGCAGCAAATTTAAAAAAATGGAATAAAGAATTACAAGAAATTTTTTACAATGTAATTTTGGTTATTAAATTAAATCTATTAGGTGTCTTATATTTCTCGTTGTCAAAAATGCGTCATTCAAATAATGAAAAAAAATAATTTCAAAAAATCTATTTAAATATACCCTTTTTTTCTCGATACCGGGGTATTATTAATATAAATAATTTATGTATTTCAAAAGGCCCATAACAATCATGATCTAGAAACTGAATAAAAAAAAAAGTTGAGACAAAACTAGCAAGAATTTGTGCTAAAAAACCCAGAGCAGTTGCTTATCATATTTATAATAGTCAAGCAGCAGTGTTTATGGTTGTGATCGAGCCATGGAAAATGACAGTCGACAGGTTGTTTTATTATAGTTGTTTGCCTTATATTGGAACTTTGTTACCTATGAATTGCATAATAATAAATAATATAAAATCAAACTCACGTCTATTCAAATCTTTCTACAAACATTTCAAACGGTAAATTAAGGTCCAGTTATCCGCAGCGGATACCTTTTTGGTTAATATTTCTCATGTAGTTGATCGATATGCAAGAGCTGCTCTACGTATGAACAATTTCTAATACGAGGTAAGTTATTGACAAACAACTTGATGAAATAAGAAAATCAGCGGTCTCGTTTCGTTAGTTCCATGGTCGATACAATGACCTTGTCAACAAGTACATGTACAAACTATCATTAAGTCAAGTGCAGACTATCGTTTTTATGCGCCCGGATCTATAGATCGATAGATCCGGGGCGTGTATTGTTTTTGACCCGTCTGTCTGTTTATCTGTTTGTCTGTCTGTCTGTTGTCAACTTTAACATTCGCCATAACTTTTGAACCTTGAGAGATAGAGACTTTATATTTGGTATGCATACTCCACTAACTAAACTCTTTCAAATGACACCAAGTTCAATGACCTTGTGAACTTGACTGAGACCTATATGCTAAAAATAGCTTTTTCGATCCAACTTTCGTCGCGACTTTTGAACCATAGAAGATAGAGACTTTATATTTGGTATGCGTACTCCACTAATTATGTTCTTTCAAATGACACCAAGGTCAATGACCTTGTGATCTTGACTGTGACCTGTAGGCTAAAAAATAATTTTTTTGAACTTTGTTACCGCCGAGCTCATAGTGTTTCACAAACAAACTTGTTTATATTTATTTTTAAGCCATTATTTACACTCTGAATTGTCGATTGATTTTCCTGTCATTTTCCAATCATGACTAGGAGCACACGACGGGTGTAACCGGTCGGCAGAGGATGATCCATCTTCCATGGCATCTGATCCCACCTCTGATATTTCAGAGGTCCGTGTTTGCTGTAGGAAAAATGCATTGTTAATGGACTTTTGAGCTTTAATATTGTTCGTTATTTCCATATATCATTCACTGTATCCATATAAAACAGAATTTATTTAAAACTTTTACAAGAAAAGAAGAAATTACATATCTGTAGACTGATCGTCTAAAAATTTGGTATAGACGAACAGAGCAACAATGCCACCCATAATAAAAGCGTTAAAGGGCTGTGTTTCTTGATTTGATTCTCCATATATTTAAGATGCCATTTCAAAATATTATAAACCGTATGTTTCTAGCATTTTCTTTTACTGCTTTTCCAAAAAAGTATTCCCCCAATCCCCTCATAATAGCCATCAAGGGCCTAAAATTGAGACTTTTGAAAATTTCACCTATGGTTTCAATACTATTTTGAGTGACAAAGACCATTCGGTCCAACACGCTCCGTGCATGGCATGTACATGATGTTTTCTATAGACAGTGGAAATAGTGAGAGAATATGTTAGGAAAACAGATTAGTAATACTTCTAATTATACTGAGAGATATCTAGAAATATATTTTTGTGTGTAATGAATATGTGCTTTTTGGCCGTGAAAACAAGATAGACAAAGAT